GTGGTATTAAATACATTCATAGTGTTGGCAACCGTCACTACCATCCCGTCTTTAGCTTGTGAACCTGAAACTCTACCACAGTAACTCTCTCTTCCCTCTTCCCCCTTCCCTCTGGCCCCTGGCAACCACCATTCTACTTTCAGTCTCTGTGATTTTGATTGCTCTTTAAGGCCCTTATATAAGTGGGGTCGTACAGTATTTGTCATTTTGTGACTGGCTTATTTCACTTAACATAATATCCTCAAGGTTCTAACATATTATAGTTTATGTCAGAATTTCCTTCCTTTTTAAGGCTGAGTACAGTATTATACATTTTTTAAGACGAATAGTGATCTTCTGCCAAACTCCACTACCCTCCCCGCATCTCATTTTATGGAGGCAACAACCTTATTTCTTCTGATATTTCTTCTGATATTTACTTCCATGTTTTTGTGGTATAATATATACCATATTTTGCTTATTCATCAGTGGGCACTTGAGTTGCATCCACGTTTTAGTGATTGTGAATAATGCTGCTATAACCATGGGTGTACAGATATCTCTTTGAGACCTTGCTTTTTAATTCTTCTGGCTGTATATAGAAGTGTAATTGCTGGATCACATGGTAATTCTATTTTTAATATTTTGAGCAATCACCATACTGTACCATTTTATATTCCCTCCAGCAGTGCCATGGGGTTCCATATTCCATCCTTGCCAACGATTGTTATTTTCTGGGTTTTTTTTTTTTTGGATAGTATCCATCCTAATGGGTATAAGGTGGTATTACTGTAGCTTTGATTTGCATTTTCATAATGATTGTGATGTTGAGCATCTTCATGTACTTACTGGCCATTCATATATTTCTGGAGAAATGTCTATCCAAGTCCTTTCCCCATTTTTGAATTGGGTTTTTTTTTTTCTTGTTGAGATTTAGCAGTTCTCTATATATTCTAGATATGTACTCTCTGTATATCTCTGATCAGATATATGATTTGCAAATATTTTCTCCAATTCTGTGGGTTCCCTTTTTTACTCAGTTGATAGTGTCTTTTCAATGCACAATTTAAAAAATTTTCATGAAGTTGTGTGTATTTTTGTTGTTGTTGCCGATGCCTTTGGTGTCATATCTAAGAAATCATTGCCAAATCCAATGCTGTGAAGGTTTTGCATCATGTTTTCCTCTAGGAGTTTCACAGTTCTAGGTTTTACATTTAGGTCTGATCCATTTTGGGTTAATTTTGGTATATGG